ACGTTTCGTGCTTATGGACCGTGCTTTATCCTCAGCATCCCCCTTTCTGTGCATGGCCATGAGTCCATCTGCACCTCATGTAGCGCTGGGGACAGATGATGGGATCGTGCGCGTCTACGACTTAGAAGATAATGGGCAAGTTCGACTGCTCTCGTCGCTGGACTGTAAAAAAGTGTCGTCAAAGTTCGAGGGACACGAGAACAAGACGGAAACGTTGTCGAGAGGTAATTGGGTAATTGGCCTTGACCCTCCGGCGAAGAATCGATACTAGAAGACGAGTAATCATTTCAAACCTCGATTTTACTTAATTTTTCCCAAAATGTAGTGCTTACTATAGGTCAAGAATTACTGTTTGAAGTATAAAAAGTATTAAAAAGCATAGCTGGACCCCACTGGGGGAGTTTATAGGCACTCCCCAATGTACTCTTCCTTTCTGGTGGTTCTTCCTTCCTCCACTGCCACCCCCACTGGTCTATTCTTGTGTCCACTAATGATGTATATCTGAGATATCAATGAGTATTTAGTAGCAGCTAGCTTTCTTCATAACATTCTGATCAAAATAGCAAAGTTGTCAATATTAAGAAAATTTAAGTGTGCCTGTGGTCTCAGCTAACACATAACGATTCTGTAGCATTCCTTGAACGTTGTGGTTTGGTTACGTATGCACGGACTTCTTAGGACTTCTATGCGAGTTAAGACCGAACTGGTGTAAAGAGTAAGAGTTATATGTCACTGCAGTGCAGTGAGATCACCTATGTACGCTACACCTTCCAGGTTTCAAGAAGATTAGCAGCCTTCCGTCGTGGAAGACTCACTCGATGTCTTGTAGTCAGGATCATGAAGATCCACCTCGCGGGCAAATGGAGATGGGAAGCTCGGTACTCGCTCTGTACTTTGCAGTACCGGGCAGTTTTGCTGATGAGGAGACAGGGGAAGGAGATGCGGCTCCCTACCCGACCTCTGTGATAACGTAGGGCCTGTCGTATTAGTCTGTTATTGTAATTCATTGTTTAATTGTCTCCTGTTAGAATATGGTGCGCTGCACATGTACACGTGCGAGCACACGTATATAGACACTCTGATCCATGCATGTGCGCACGCACTCACGCACGCATGCTCACACTCACGAATGCACACTTACGTGCACACACGCATGCACATACATGCACACGCACGAATGCACGCACGCACACACATGCTCGCAGTCACAAAGGTTACGTGTGTTTAGTAACAACAAGTACGTAGTTACTGGATAAATGTGCAAAATTATGATGTATTTAAATATGAGATTGGTTACTCGTTGCATTGCCTGCAATAGGGATCTGGTCAAGTCCACATTGAATCTGGTGATTGGGACAACAGGTGCTATTATACTCTCAAATGCCAAGACCACGGAAGCTGTCTCGTACTTTGATTTGCAAGGTGTATTATGCTTATATTATGTATCATATTCACCCTATATCAAATACTGTATACGCCATATTTTTCGCGTACAGATATATTCGCGAATTCAGACTTGACAGACAATTTCGCGAGTGGTTAATTTTGCGGTCGGTGAATTATGAATTATTCTGTATTATTCGGTATGAATTATTTGCGTGTTGTTATTTTCCTGGTCGGGGACGCGTTCGCGAAATTCGCGAAAATTAAACCACCGTGAAATATACAGCATATACAGTATCTTACTGTTATCAAATAACAGTGACTCTCACTGAATTACTTTCCTCACGTGTGAATTTGCCTATACAGCTATAGGAACTTAATTAATTTAATTAATATTTTTGCTGAAACGAATTTAATAATTTAAGTACGTATAGCCTGTATCTTAAAGTGAGAGTGCCTGTGTGCATGCAAGCATATGTATGTTTTATCAAAGATCGACTGATTGTTTTTCAGATCCTGTGCAAAGCATAGCGATGCAGAAAGATAAGGAAATAAGTTTATCTCTCGCAGACACGTTTGCTTTCTCACAGCCAGACAGCAATCCTTATGTGAGTGTAGTATATAGTCAGCCAGCCTCATAGAACCTCAGCTTTCTAGGCCTCCAATCTAATATACAGTCATGTATCCATATCGTGTATTCGTATACAGAGGTATATTCATAAACAGAGGTATATTCGTAAAAAATATATTATTTCACAACATATTGAGTATATGCATGCTATTGTCACGAGCGTATATATATAAAATATGCGGTAAATATGTATAAACATATCTTATACGTTCATGGTATTACCTTTGTGGTATGTACCACATAAGTTATAGTATGGTCATAGAGAATTTATATGAAATCACTCTTACTCATAAAATGACATGCATTATAATCATGTTTCTGATTGTGACTGTGTGTGTAAATAACAGACAAACACTGCATAACTCCCGACAAGCTTGACGGTGAACCATTGCTTCATATTTCTCGTGGCTGTAGGTCTGGTGCTGCATTAGGAGCTTGTTTGGGAAGACGTTGGATATTCTGCAGCTGAAACCCTCGCTGACCTCTTCTCTGGTTGGCGTTTCGGCGCACTCTGAGTCCGTAGTCAGCCATTACGTTCACCATGATGCCACGCAGACCGAGCTTACGGTGTTGTCAAGGTACAACTACTATATCATGTTATTACACGTTGATTGATCGAACGGGAGCAGAAACCAGACGTTCAAAATGTAATTATACGCGATTAATAAATGGAATGCGTTCAATCACAGGTTGCTAATTAATGCAAAACCCGCATAAGTTTTGTTGCATAAGTTAACCCGCAAAAATTTTGCATATATTTGATAAATTATAAATGATGCAATTAATATAAGATGATGAGAAAGCTTTGTGTGACTTATTATATAATGTCATTTTGAGATTAATAGGCAAGGTATATTCACCATTCAGTATCTTTTATAAACTAGCAGAGTTTATCATGTAGGAATTATTCCCAAACACGAAGTCGACTCTTTAACAAATATTTCAGTGCTCCACTCTGTTTGAAGTCTCCACTACGTGCAGAGTACACTGAGAGAGAACTCGGCTCCGCCAAACCAAATGTCACTGTTGGTTTAAACGCTAAAGGTATAGTGATCGATTGACTGTATATAGCTATATGCCATATTTTAATGTGTGAGTTCCCATCACGTTAATGTGAGTGATTGGTGTAGTATAGCCACACTTCTTTGTGTTACATATAGCTATATAGCCTGGATCACATTTTATTACCTAAAGTAATCGTGTTTTTTAATGTGTAAAAATGAGAAATTTACATGAATACGATTTTTGCTCATTGATCATTGCTTTTCGGTTATAGATATGCATCATGGACTCTCATTTAGGTAACCCTGCTTGACTATTTCAGGGAGATCTTTTAAAAAGCCAGCTGGCCAAAATCCTTTTATATTCCATGATAAAATCAAGTCTTCAGGATATGGTTCACCAAAAACAAGGTACGCTTGCACAGATGTGCAATATTTGCCAAAAAAAGCTCAATATTATTGATTACTAGGTGATATGAGTTTTATTTAAAGTTATTTTCATACGAAATACTTTGGTAAAGTCACAATCTCTTTTTATTTTCTTCAGGCCTGCAGTGATGTTTCAACCAAAAACCAACATTAAGAAGAAGACGCCTTCCATGAAATCCCCGGTTAAGCCGCGCAAGCTAGAGCAGTCACTCGGGTAACATTATTATTGCAGGGCCTAGCACTAGATTGAGCCAACAATATCTGTCATGACATTTAATCCTCATTACTGTGTGATAACAAGCAATGTTGTAAACATATGTATATATATATATGTATATATATATATATATATATATATATATATATATATATGCAGTAAAACAAAACGTTTGTGCATTTGCATGCTAGAGCTGCGATGATGCGGGAATATCCAATTAATTCTGATCCTCCAACCGAGTTGGTACACAAGACCGAGGTTGCCGAACGGAGCACGTCCATCAGGTGCATCCGAATCTCCGGTAGGTTTGCACGTAAAATCGTAGTTCATTACTGCGGGGCCTAGCATTAGATTGTCGAGCCAACAATATCTGTTACGACATTTAATCCTCGTTACTGCATGTTGACAAGCAAAATATTTATGTAAACGATTAAAACACATTTATCTACTTGCATTTCTCTTGGTCTCAGGCAATGGGAAAGCTTTAGCCTGTGGTCTTGCTAACAAAACTGCGCAGGTTCTTGCCCTACCCCTAGATGGAACGTCAATGGATAAGGGATTTCATTGCAGTGGTGTGTATATACTATTTAAGAGGGTTATTTACCGTACAATTAACATTATTTGCGTAATCAAACCACAACATTCAAGGGACGTTATGAAAACGTTTAGTTGGGGTTTCTATCTGGAATAGGTGATCTAGTTGTCTTAATATTGCATTTTATGATTGAGCAGTCCTATATGATGTTTGATACTATGTTTAATTTTATCAGGATTATGTTTGTCTGCTGTTTAACACATATACTTATCAAAATTACGATTACAGTATTTTTGTATAAATTGTACATGTTCATATTATGAAATCTAGTTTATGTAGTTGGACATGTGTGTGCAATTACTACATTATGTCATTTATTTCTGTAACAGGACATAATGGTGCTGTATCTTCGGTAAGTTGGAGCCATGATAGCAAGTGGCTCTTGACAGGTTCTGTGGACAAGACAGTGAAAATCTGGTGCAGCAGCTATAGTGAGCCTGTTCTTACCATTGACTCTGTCAAGCAAAAGCTAACACCAGATGGCATAGGAACAAAGGCCGCCAAGGTACATCTGCGTGTGTGCATGCGTGCAGGAGTGTATGCGTGAGTGCATACGTGTGTGGGTGCATGCATGCATACATACGTGCGTGCGTGGGTGCATGCGTGTGTGCATACGTGCGTGGGTGTATGTGTGCGTGCTTGTATGGTGCGTACATGTGTGCATGCGTGGTGCATGTATGCATCTGTGTACATACATAGGTAACATCTTCATGCAAAACCTTTGAATCCCTATATCAGATTAGGTAGCTTCAGTGTATACATTGTAATTTTTAGGGGTACAGCACACAGTTTGACAAGGAAATCAAACATGTACAGTTCTACTACATGAACAAGTTCGTGATTCTCACACATGGAAATGCATTCCACATGTTAAAGTACCACTTAGATACCAGCAAGGATGAAATGAAGAGGTACGCGGTTCGCTTAATTATTACATGATCATCCGTTATTCTACCAAGCATTTGTATTGTAAGATGTTCTGCTGATCTATCCAAGTTGTGATCAATACACTCGTGTCTGGATTAAATCTTTACAAGCACCCGACTCTCTTGACTAATATAGTGGTTTTATTTTATCTCGGTAATCACTACCTTTCAACCGTAGGCCCTACGGGTGAAGAAAGGCATTTATTGACTATTGTTGGAACCAGCCATGTGCTTTTATACTCCGCTTTCAATTACCGTATTCTCTGACTAATCTTGTTACAGGTATGTTTGTAACAGCCGCTACAAGTTGGTCAAGTCATTTGAGATGGCTAACACACAGCAAATAACAGCCTTCTCAGCTGTTAACAGTTTTTACTCATGTATCCTTTACGATATCCCCCCACCACCCCCACCAAGAAGGAATTTGTAGTCTACCATCTACATATGGTTCGAACCTCTAGCATATAAACCCCCGGGGGTGTCCAGCCGGTAATTTTAGCTTAGCAACTGATGGCAGGTATGAATACTGTAGATAAACTGTTCACGTCTATGCAGGTGAGTCACTAACAATGGCAGCGACCACCAATTAAGGTACATGCCTCATCAAGAGTACGTAAACACTAAGCCAGTGTAAGCATGTCTAACTGACTATCATATGCTCTGCATCTCACATGTAATCATAGAAGATCAGAAAAGTACTCTGCTTTTGTTTCATCGTGTGTGTTATTTTTAGGGTGATGCTCCATTAGGTGTGTTTCCAACTTTAATGTCATTAATGGTCATAATAACATAATATATATATATATATATATATTAGTTTGTGGTTTAATGTCATTTAGGTTAGGGTTAGGGTTAGGGTTAGGATTATCAATCATTAATCATTAATCATTAATGATATCAAAGTTGGGAACACTCCTAATGGAGTGTTAGCCTATTTTCACATGGTACACGCAAAGCTGTATTAGGTCCTGTCTGCGCATGTATGGCTGCAGTTTACGATTACAACCTTGACGACGAGCTGTCAGACATTGCGATGTGTACGGGATCTAACCGCGCAGTGGAGGTGTTTGACATGAACGTGGGTAAGAGTGTGCAGGTACTCGGCGACGTTCACACACGACCCGCACACGCTCTCTGCCAAAACCAGGTGCTTCTCTAAACATTGTACTCCCACCTCCCACACAATCTTATAATTGTTTTTCGTTAGCATATTTGTAATCTCTAACTAGAACCATGGATGACTATTTTAATGTCAGTTAGGCAAAATAACCGAATAGACATCAGTTATGTCTTTAATCAGTTGCATATAATAATTGTGTACTAGCCATTCATCTGTGATACTATGAAAATATGCATAGAATATCAAGTAGTAATCTTATATATTGCACGTCCTTTAATGTGTTCATGGTGTTCGATTCATTTACATGTTCAGGGTTCAGCATTTGTGAGTCATCCTCCGGAAAACTACGATCTGTTTCTCACGACAGCCGTGACGGATGGAGTGAAACTGTGGGATCTAAGAACGTCTAAGTAAGGCATTTACCGTAGCTGCATTGACTGCTCGATGCAGCCAGGTTATACGATGAGATATGAAATTCACTTTTTGGCAATGTTTAGTATAAATACAGTAGATTACACATCTGCTGTGTAGGGCTCATAGGGTCTATGTCCCCCAGGGTACTGCCGGAACGTACCCTGGGTACGGTCCGGTATACTGGAACGTACCCTGGGTACGGTCCGGTATACTGGAACGTACCCTGGTAACTATCTGATATGGTTAGGGTTAGGGAGTAGGCGTAGGTGACTCCCTAGACTCGTTAGTGGAGTAGGCGAGGTACGGTCCGGCATATTAGATAGTACCAGGGTACGTTCCGGCAGTACCCTGGGGGACATAGACCCTCTCAGTCTGTGTAGGCTGTGCTTGCCCAATACCTGTTGTGATAAACCTTAATTGATTTATTGACCAGAATATTTAATCCAAGGATAAACTGTGCAATGATAAATATATTAATTATGTAATTTATAGTAGCACTATTGCCAGAATGAAGTACAGAAGCACAAACAACATTCTTAACTTCTTAACATTATATTACATTATATCATATTATTACATTATTAAATTAATTTACATTATATCAGGAGTGAATAATAATAGATTATATTATACATTATATAACATTAAATTCTTAACATTATTTTAAAGACTGCATGAAGCAATGTCCTTAGTAATTGATATAACCACTTTCACTAATCACATTTGGCCAAACTCGTAAAAATTTCCAACAATATATATCCTTTGTGGTCTGAATGTCGTTCATTTCTTTCAGGTGCGTTTGCAAGTACGAGGGTCACAAGAACAGAAGCCATGCATGTGGAGTAGCCTTCAGCCCGTGTTCTAGGTTCATCGCAGCGGGGTCCGAAGACAAAAGTGTAAGATGTTGAAAGCCTCTTTCAAGCTATAGCATATATCATCCAGGACGTGATACTGGCATTAATGTGACTCCCTAAAATTCTATTCTGCTTACGCTGAGAGGGTCTATGTCCCCCAGGGTACTGCCGGAACGTACCCTGGGTACGGTACGGTACGGTATACCGGAACGTACCCTGGGTACGGTACGGTCCGGTATACCGGAACGTACCCTGGTACTAGATACTACTATCTAATATGCCGGACCGTACCTCGCCTACTCCATTAACGAGTCTAGGGAGTCGCCTACGCCTACTCCCTAACCATAACAGTGACACTAACCCTAACCCTGACCCTAACCATATCAGCTAGATAGTTACCAGGGTACGTTCCGGTATACCGGACCGTACCCAGCCTGGGTACGTTCCGGCAGTACCCTGGGGGACATAGACGCTATGAGAGCTGCTTACAGTTAATTAAGACTAAGGTTAGGATTCAAGTTAGGAGTTTAAGGAGTTAGATTTAAACAGAGATACAATTTACAGCAGTGATAATATCAAGAGCGTAATAAGAAGCTTCTTAATATGCTCTTGATAATATTAAAGAATGTCCTAGGTTGTGTACCCTACCAGCTCTTTCTCTGTATGTAGCGGCAAAGCGTAACCATGGCCGATATCTCGTTAGAATCAACGAACCCACTGTGTGTTCACACTGTGACTGTTTCAGGCATACATCTATGATATCCGTACAGGAACCTACCTGCATAAACTCTCTGGCCACACTGACGTGGTCTCAGAAGTTGCCTACCACCCCCTCTATTGCCAGGTAAAATATCTATACTTGCTCAAACTTACATAATGGTTGCACAGCATTGGCACTTCAGCAAACGAGGATAGCACAGAAATATCACCTAGTCTTATACCATGAACCTATGTATACAAACATGAACACATGTATAAAATTGTAAATTTTCTACATAAGTATTGCATTCGTGTGTAGGTACAGATTTCTATAAACAGGTTACTGGTACTAATATACATATAGTTTCATACGAGATGAATCCACAATATAGTGTTACACTTGTAACCTACACCCGACCAATTCCTATGCGCGCACAGAAGTACACAAACATTCATGGTGAAGTTACAATCGTGTCTCACTCTCACTGACTGAATTGATTCGTTTCAGCTCCTAACCGTGTCCCTTGATGGAAAGCTAAGCCAGTTTGATGCGAAGTGATGAACACACATGCGCGTGCAGGCACGAGCAGAGGTCTACAGGGGCTTCCTGAGTAAAGTTAAACTAAACATGTTCACATGATAATGTAATAAATGAGCAATTATATTTTCGAGGAGCATTGGCCACCCAAATAACAACGACTTGTTAAGGTAATACGCATTTGTAATGAAAGCATGCATACGTCGATATGCCTTTGGGCATGTTGGGTACAGATTTATAATTACTCGTGTAATAGACCAATACATGACTATAGTAACCCTTAATGTTCAGGTCCCTTGTGACAAATGTAGTCAGTTGCCAGTCGCTTATTTCTTTTATAAAAGATTTCCTTTAATGACTATAATATGTCAAGTGTATTCACTGCAGCTGTGTAACTATTATAGAATAATAGCATAATTGTTTTACAGTTTAATGGTTTCAGTGAATATCTGGTTGTTAATATACATGTATATTGAGAGCTTCTTGCTTACAATTTCTGTGTAGCATCTATTTAAAATGTCATTTCTTAGGTGCATATACGCATCGTCACTATGACAAGCCTTTACCGATGTCAAGTATAGTTAGTTTGTACATAACCGTTCACATGCAATGCATGTTAAAATTCTTTAATTATATTGTGTCCAGTATTATTGTATAAATGCGAGAGAAAAAATTTCTAGATATAAATAATTTGGTGTATACAGTTTATAGTTATTATATTGTTGTATATAGAGATATATTAATAATTTAATTTTATATATTGTACATTATTTATAATCTTCAACTATTACTTACCATACTCGGTTCTAATATAGTCATACTTGTGATAATAACACCTCAAATACAGTATTGAGATTTCAACATTTCAAGATGGATGGACGGATAAATGGATGGACGGTAATATACTTTTTAGTTGCCAGCCAATGTTAGAATTATTTTGAGAGAAGGCAGCTTCGATATCAGCATCATTCTACTAAGATGACATTTGACTGATTAAGCCCCTTGGCCTGTATACGAGGTATCACCATTACTCTTGCCTTGCTGTAACATGAATGCAGTGTGTTCGAGCCACCTATTATACATGTTGAGCTATCACTCACTTGTACATGTGTTGCCACCAGTACACTAGAACTGGCACATGAATCCTAACCGAACTTAACCCCAAGCTTAGCCCCAACCCTAACCAAATCCCAACCCCAAGCTTAGCTAGTGAGCTCCAACCTTAACCAAATCCCAACCCTAAGCTGAGCCCCAACCCTAACCAAATCCCAACCCCAAGCTTAGCTCCAACCAAATCCCAACCCTAACCAATTCCCAACCCCAAGCTTAATTAGCTCCAACCAAATCCCAACATAAGCTGGGCCCCAACCCTAACCAAATCCCAACCCTATGCTGAGCCCCAACCCTAACCAAATCTCAACCCTAACCAAATCCCAACCCTAAGCAGAGCCCCAACCCCAACCAAATCCCAACCCCCATCATGTAGGTACGTGGGTTAAACACAATTAACCCCCCTCGCCCCCGGTTGCACGGCACTCCAAGGTGCACGACGACCACCCTGACGTCTCACGTTATCACGGCGCGTGCGACACTCGACGTGACTCGATCCTTCTTTGGGACCTCTGTACCTAGATCATTACCGAAATCATAGCTCCCTGAGCCTCCTAACCAAACCCTAAGCTTAGCCCCAACCCTCGATCGCTCCTCTACGGCAATGACTCGTTCTGTCTCACCAGCCTCGCCTTGCGCACCACGTCCCGCAGGTTCCTCTCGCGCGCGCTCGCGCACCCGAGGTAACAATTGAGCATCTTGTTGCTTGTCTTCGCCGCCACGCACTCGATCGACGTCCCCTCGTTCGCGTACACCGGCCCGTTGTCCCACATCAGGTCGAACCCGCCGACGCGTCGCTCGTTGCCCGTCAGGCGGCGCTCGAGGTCGATGACGCTGAAGCAGTCGTAGAGCAGGCTGTACTTGAGTTCGTAGTCCTCCTTGCTGGAGGCGGTGAAGGACGGTGACGCGTTCACCTCGATGAGCCACGGCTTGAGGACGGAGTCGAGTAGGATGTCGTAGCCGTACAACTCGAAGCAGTGCTTGTCGTTGATCATCACCTTCTGCATGGCCTGGAGGCTGACGATGAAGATGTCGTTGATTGCGTGCATCATCTCCAACACCACCGCGTTCCCGTGCTTCGCGCACAGAAACTGCCGCAGCTGCTTCATCGACCACTTGCAGCCCTTGTCCGGGTTGAAGTCCTTTGCGGTTTTCTGCAGCGCGACGTTGGTGAGGTGCACGTAGGTGTCCTCGATCGAGTCGAGGCTGTAGCGCGCGCCGGAGAACCGCGCGAAGCCGTCGCGGAACGTCCACACCTTCATCGGGTTGTAGGACGTCACGAGCACGTAGAGCCGGATGTCGAACTTGCGTCCGCCGACGAGGTAGGGGCTGTCGAGGTACTTCTGCACGACGTACACGTCCGGTCCCTTCTTCGGGTTCCCGGCGGCGTCGAGCTGCGGAGGCGCGGCCGCCTGCTTCGCCGCCTCCCCCGGTGCCGGCTTCTTCCATTCCGCGACGTCCTTCAGCTTCTGGAAGAGGAAGATTCCCTTGCCCTGCGCGCTCCCCGCAGGCTTCATGATCCAGATCTGCCCGGGACAGCGCTTGTATTCCTCGACGAAGAGCTGATACTCGGAAGGAAGCTCAAAGGAGCAGGGCGTGAAGTCGCAGACGAGGCCCGCCTCGCGCCCGCCTTCCTTCTCCAGCTGCTTGCGGTGCCGCCGCAGGTTCTTGTCCATGAGATTCTTGCGCGTCAGCTCGTAGTGGTTGCGGAAGTGGCAGATCTTTGAGAACTCGCTCATGTGCGAGCGGTCGAAGACGTCCTTGAGACTGGAGACGTCGACCCAGTAGATGTCCCAGTCTCCGTCGTCTCGCGCCTCGCGCCAGCCGCGCGCGCGCATCACGTCGAGGCACGTGTTCGCGAGCGACGACCTGTAGCGTATGACGCCGCTGTCGCCTCCCAGCTGCTTCCTCTCCTGACCCCTCGCCGACTGTCGCTTGGATATCATGCTGCGCGATCTCCTTCACGTGCGTGCGAGATACTCCACCCAAGTACGATCTAACAGCGGCTTCTCAGTGTCTGGAGTGCGGGTAGTCGAGTGCGACCGCGTCGATATCCGACATCATTAATTATTCTGAAAGGGAACGAACGTCCGAATTATTGATTTGATGTTAGTGAATAATTTAAATTGAGCACCCGCTCAAAGATTCATGAACCGTACGGTGCTGCACTGTTTGCTTGGTGACGATTAATGATGAAATTGCATACATTTCAATCTGTAATGCGCTTCATGCTATAAAATTTACTGTATTGCGGCATTTGAGAGTTTCACACACGTATGTATGTGTGCTGATCAGAACCAAACTGATGGAGTGATATATCCCAGTATAGACGTCCAGAAAGCATACGTGCTTAGCTACACTAGCCTCACACATTTATCGGAGCACAGAAGTGCATGTGTTGTGATACTATGTACATGTACCATGAAATGATGCACAGATTTACATGTTGAAGACCTTAGTGCACTACAGATATAAAAAAATATCACAAAAAACTTGCAGAAATTTCATATCCCAAAATGAATCACAGATTGACATGTATCAAAAAATGATGTACAAACCCATATGTATTGTACGTTATTGTACAGTGTAATGTATACGCCATATTTTTCGCGTACAGATACTTTCGCGAATGCAGATTTGATGGACAATTTTGCGAGTGGTTAATTTCGCGGTCGGTGAATTATGAATTATTCGGTATTATTCGGTATGAATTATTTGCATGTTATTATTTTCGCGGTCGGGGACGCGTTCGGGAAATTTGCGAAAATTAAACCACCTCAAAATATACAGCGTATACAGTAAATGACACCGCCTTCTCCCCGTGACCACAATCCACCTTACTAGTTAGCTCTTTCCTCCTTCTTGTCCACCTTATACCTATCCCTTCTCACCTCCTCTCGCCTCTGCTTTCTTCATATTCCTTCTCTCCACAGGGCGCCTTCTATTCTCCCTCCCTCCCTCTCCCATGATCTCCTTTGCTTCAACGTCTTAGCCAGCGAGCCGTGCAGCTGTGATTTGCACGGTCAGATTTGAAACTGCACGGCCAAAAATGTGTAGCACGGCCTAAAATATTGATCTAAAGACACACATACAAAATAATTGCACTCCCAAATATTTTTTCTGCGCTTCCACAATACTCATTCCTGGCTAATACCCTGCTTTGCTTCCTCCTCCACCCCACCTTTATCTTCCACCTCCCTAACCATTCTCTCCTCGTCCTTAAGTCCAACAAATAATAATGTATTTCAATGCCTAAGCTTATCAAGCTACACAAGCCTGAGGTTAATTGAGTCTGCGGTGTGTACGTTAAGACTGACATACAGCGCAATAACCTGCATTATGATAACTCACTACTCATATTATGTAAATTTGCCAATACATGTCATAATTTCAAATTATGGACACTATACTTGAGATCCTACAGTCAGGCTACATAATGAAATTCACTCTTAGGTTATTCTTCAAAAGAATGCATAGAGCTTTCTAACCAATCACTCTCTTTCATATACTATGGCGTTTACTCACATACGTCATATTCTCATAACTCAAATACATCATAGCGATAGTACGTGCTTTGCCTATATAAAATGATAAACTAACTCACACAGAGACTGGGTGAGACCACACATGCACTTCAACTTGCAGGGCTCAATTTTAACAGTCGTCCGGTCGTCCGTGACGACTGGATTTTCTCTCGGGCAACTACAAATTCCTTCCGTGGTTGTCCGATGTCCAAACTCTAAATTAATTTTTTACATTTTTTTTTTAATTTTAAAATTTTCAATTTTTGCTCATCTGTGACTTGACACAGTGTTAATGTAAATGTTATGAAATAAATTTCATGCAACTTTTAATTACTATTATTATACGTCATTCATCCCAGCATCATTTACCACATTACCAATATTTTATTCTCTTCATATAATGAGTGAAACAATGCGAATGGCCATGTCTGCTGTCACTGCAATACGTACAAAATGTACATGATTAGGCCTTTTGCTTTACAGCACTGAGCATCACGTGAGCAGAGCGCATGCAGCACATGTTTAAACTAGACAGAGGGCACTCACGGAGAGTGCATACCTCTGCTAGCATGTATAACATGTATGTGCTCGCTGGTGGCGGCTGCTGACTCGCCGCTCACTGATGGCTGCTGCTGACTCGACGCGCTATCAATCGCGCGATGGCTACACACACACACGCGAGCGATTGCATGACCTCCGTTAGCGCGGAGGTAATAATATCCGGACAACCAAAACTCTTGAGGGACAACCATATGCTACTCTCTTGGTTGTCCTCCGGACAACCCCAAAAAAACCTTAAAATTGAGCACTGAGTCTTGGCACGAAATGTATTTACTACCAGTCTTAATGTTTCTCTACTCTATTTCGCCTATAATCACCTGTAAATGCCGGTCAAATGCTGATCTTCAACACACAAGTACACCGCACGCTAGACCAATAAATTGTGCCCTAAAAATTTTCATTATATTCTGATGTTATTTTAGGTTATTTGTTTTGTTCATTGTCTAAAATAACATCAGAATATAAATTTTTTTAGGGCACAATTTATTGGTCTAACCGCACGCTAGCTGCTGCACACTGACACAGTCTATATCTATATATTTACGTGTCAGTGTGCAGCAACTAGCGTGCGGCGGCCAGCGTGTGACAGTGTGTTGCAGATGAGCATTTGGACGGCATTTACAGGAAATTGTCGGCAATAATAGGTGAAAGAGAGTAGAGAAACATTAAAGGGACAGTAGCCTCTAGGATTTTACTGCATACAACTGTACTTACTGTATAACAAATCGTCTATACCATTACCAGCCTAAAAAACTTTTTATTTACGAGAGCTCTTTTTTGATTTTGTATGAAAAAAAGAGCTCTCGTAATTTTTTTTACGAGAGCTATTTTAGGCTTGGCCAGAGCTACTTTTTCATAGCACGATTTTGTTAAAATCTTTATAATTTTGATGCACTGACTCTAATATCATTCATCAGCATTCAGCGTGCACTCGGCACCATTATCAGACTATCAGTGTTAAGAAATCGTCAACAAATTAGATTCAATCACATTTCGTTTATCTCATTTCACTCGACTAAGAAACCAATCACATTCGTATTCAATTTCATTCACACAGACAGACATGCACTACACAGTACACATAGTTAGGTAACATGACAAAGACAGGAAATCAAGATTTATACTCATTGTAATGATGGTATGGTTATTTTCAAGTTTCTTTCTTTACTTCATTTCTTTTCATTTTTCAACTTCCTTTTTACATCGACTGAGCAAGTTCAAAACTTCAGAGAGAGTTTTTAGTTACTTTGAGTATGTTAAAAAAACTTCTACTGGAATCTCTAGGAATGCCGGGAGCTTCAGGGCAAGGTTTTACTTTCGTTTTTCTCCTCCCCAGTCCACGGTACCCCCATGCATAGATCAATGCTGTCGCAAATCCGCAACGTAATATATATAGTTATATACAGTTTACATTGCTTCTAGATATATAACTGAATAAAAATAGTCCAGTTTCTACGTTAAGAAAAGTGACGAATTCAGTTAATAGCTTTGATTACGTGCGTGTCAGGTGTCACTGGTCGTGCCCTCACTCCCCATGATAACCCCTGCGATATAAAAACTTATTGCTATGCGGTCATAAAAACACTGGGCTACGCAACATGCCTGGCGATGCCGCAATCAATTTCTTAGACTGTCGCGAGTTTTTGTTAGTGTGGCGAATCATGCAGCTCTAGATGTTTTGGATACCCCGTCTACGTTAAGGAACGGGTTGGATTATGTGCTGTCCTTTACAAGTCTGTTTAAACTGCCGTTGCGCTAACCGTAGTATTTCAGCGTAATATGAGGGGAAAAAGTGGCGGTCAGGAGGACCGGCAGTTTCGTAGAGATGGTGGCCCGAGCAAAAACTTGGTGTGCTCGGGCCTCCGGGTCGGCACTAATTTCGAACGCTGCTGGCGGCACGGGAGCGATTTTTTCTCGTATTTTCACTCTCGTAATTGTTTTTACCAGAGCGCTTTGAAAGCTGACGGGAGCGAAATCGCTCTCCGCTCCCGTGTATTTTTTTCGATGGTCTATACCCACACGTATTTGTTACCAGATACCTAATTTAATTGTTATAATTAATTACACATCAACGCTACGAAATTTGAACGGCGCCATGACACCCGCAACCGTGCTGCCACCCCAAAAAATTTGCGTATTTGACAATTTATTTTGCACGTTACAGACCGAGGGCACAAAAGTGCAATTATATTTATACCTAAGTGCTATTTAACCGAACGATATTCATTTTAGGGCAAATTTATCCATATTATAACTGAAACTATATGTCGTTTATAAGATATTACAATCCTTTTGCTTTTAAATGAATAAATAAGAAACACCCTCGGTCTGTAGTCCTTGGCTGAAAAGTGGTTTTGCGCAACTTATCAGATCGTGCGCTCTGAGTGGCGCCACTGTCGTTGTAATCAAACTGTAGTCGTTAGTTTTAAAACATTAAAAAAAAAAATTTTCATGGTGATTGAACCATGAAACTATTTATGTAGCGCAATTATAACCTAAATTAGCTGAAAATAACTCTAGAACCTAGAGTAAACTCTCCCTTTAAGACTTTGGAGTTTGGTACCTGTGGTACCTTTGGTACCTTTGGACCTGTGACGTACTTCGGTTTGAAGAGCGGATTCACCGACCAATCGTAAGGCGCTGCGTTTGCCGATCGCTATGCGCATTGGGAGATGCGTACGTCACATGTCAACAGAAATGGCGCTCAGTATATTCGCCGCTCGTCACTTCGAATTTTTGTAACAGGTTATATTAGTTTAATACAGAGTATTGCGATACATAGTAAGTTCCCAGATAGCGGAGAAAGGTTTGTGTTGAGAATAAACCCAGTTTGGAAGTTCTAGTCTCTGAAAACGCACCAGCAAACCGGCCCGAGTGATTCACTCGGGCATTCCTCCGCACAAAAGGATAGGGAGGCTTTGTAACCCTATCCTCTTGGGTTTGGGTTACATTATTGACTAATAGTAATGCTGAGAGGGTCTATGTCCCCCGGGGTACTGCCGGAACGTACCCTGGTACTATATTATATGCCGAACCGTACCTCGCCTACTCCACTAACGAGTCTAGAGAGTCGCCTACGCCTACTACCTAACCCTAACCCGAACCCGAACCCTAACCCTAACCCTAACCATATCAAATAGTGGCCAGGGTACGTTCCGGTATACCGGACCGTACCCAGGGTACGTTCCGGCAGTACCCTGGGGGACATAGACCCTGGGGGATCCTGGGGGAGGCAGGCCTGCGGCAGCGATCCGCGGGCTATAGAGTATAGTACTAGAGGCTAGAGCTATATCTAGCCCGACCAGGCTGTGCGACGGATTGTCTATACAAATGCAGGTCCTAACCCTAGCGATACCGTTTCTCGGAGCTAGAGCTATATCTAGTGCTACTCAGCTAGTCGATACGAGTCTTACTCTTTAATAGGTGTCTCTCTTCGTATTTAAAATAGTCTATTGCCCAGTATTGACTATTTCAGTATTGGACTATAGGCCTATAGACTAATATTAATAAGGTTTAAGCTTACTCCAAGATATAATCACATATTGATATTGCTCTCGTCTTTACACACTCGAAGGCTTCAGTGTCTGCGTCGCTATCTACCACCAGCGCCTCTAACGGGAAAACACAACACTCATTTTAGACATTATTTCACATTTATTTGCGGCGTTATTTGTGCATGTACGAAATAATTAATAATTAATAATTATTTCATTTAATTTTGTTATGTTTATGTTTATTTGTTAATAATTACTAGAATAAAAAATAGCAGTGACGTCATTTGTACGGCGGTTCCGCATTTTCGCCAGATGTCGCTGTCGGTCCGCACGCTAGACTGGTACTCGCTCCCACCTCGATTACTCGATGGATCCACCTAAGCCGAGGGGTGGGACCGGGTACCAGTCTATACGTACGCCAGACCCAGGGTGGATGACGAAATCGCCAGCGCAAGCAGACGATCTCTTCCTGGCGGCAGCGAATTGGTGAAGACCAATTTGTGTGCAGAAACTTTGATCAAATATCATGCATACGGAGTTTTTTTTGTGGCTGGAAACACTAAAATAACAGACTAGGATGTTCTCTGGTCTAACTCAAGCAGAACGACAGTTTGGAAATTTCGAGTTTGGAGGAAAACTTTGTAAAAATCATTTCGCCGAGGCCGGTTTAGAAACGACCGTGCACTGGAGGGGCTGGAAAAAGACACGACACCTGAGACTTTTACAACAGCTACAGCTACGAAGATGTGGTACTGCATCGTATTATTCAGATTCAGGTAGGATTTTACTATTTTACTGTCGACTAGTAAGAACGTAGTGTTGTATGTATTATGTATGCCGGGAATTATTTGGGCATACTGATTACTGTATAGTGTAGTAAGAATGCGGGGGGTGGGGGCTGACTGCCAAGATAGCGGGCGCCAGAGAGTGGTCACAGAGAGCATACTTCTATCATAGGTAGAGAGATGTAGTCTATAGGTGTAAAAATGTCAGTCAGAGCGACCAGATACAGAACGGGTGTGTAAGGAAGTCAGGTGGAGCGACAGAGCCGTGTACATGTGAAGAGAGACAGACAGAGTAGAGTGAGCAGATAGACACAGAGAGAGAGAGAGAGAGAGAGAGAGAGAGAGAGAGAGAGAGAGAGAGAGAGAGAGAGAGAGAGAGAGAGAGAGAGAGAGAGAGAGAGAGAG